TTTATGACTGGGCTACCACAGGTATCCCAGTAATTAGTGTGAAAGTTTTAAAGCTGGTCTCACCTGTTTTTGTACAGCCATTGACAAGGTTGATTAATTTGTCTGTAATGAGAGGCTGTTTCCAACTAAATGGAAACTGGCGCGCGTCACACCTCTCTTTAAAGACGGCGCCCAAGATTGTCGGGACAATTATAGACCGATCTCCGTGCCCTCCATATTGTCTAAAGTCTTTGAAAAGCATGTTGGTGCCTCCTTTATGGATTACCTTGTGAAAACTGGTTTACTGTATGAATTGCAATCAGCTTTTCGCGCAGGGCACTCTACCGAGTCCGCTCTGATCAGTTTAACTGACCATATTCTCTTCAATCTAGATGAAGACAAGCTTTCTGGTATGGTTTTTGTAGACTTTATAAAAGCGTTTGACGTTGTTGATCATCAATTGCTTCTTACGAAACCGCGCCTGTATAGAGTGAGTGATCCTTCGCTGTCATGGTTTGAATCATATCTTTCTGGTCGCCAACAGTTTGTCAGTATTGATGGTCAAAGATCAGACTCTCTACTTATCAGCAGGGGGTACCGCAAGGAAGTGTCTTAGGTCCCGCACTGTTTTTGTTATTTATGAATGACATTCCATTACATCTAACAGATTCAACTGTGGATATTTACGCTGACGACACTACAATAACCGCAAGTGCGCATTTCTCGGATCTTTTATGATTATGCTCGATGACCCAACTTTTAAATTCCAATCTTGATGCGGTTCAGAGATGGGCGTCTTGCAACAAAATATTCATCAACAAGAAAAAAACGAAGTCCCTTTTAGTGCACGGAAAGCGCATTCCTGCTAAGCTGGATGAAGACACATCCCCACGCTTAGATGTTGAGATTGATGACTCTGTTGTTGAACAAGTTTCTTCTCATAAGATTTTAGGAGTATTTATAGATAGTCGAATGAACTTCAAATCGCACATTGATGAATTATGCAAGAAACTTTCCAAACACATAGGTCTCTTGAAGCATATTAGCCCGTTTCTTAAGCAACTTCAAAGGGAAACCTATTACAATGGTGTTATAAAGCCCACCCTCCTGCATGGGAGCATGATATGGGATAGCTGCAATGTCGAACATCTTCAAAGTATTTTAAAACTTCAAAAAAGAGCGGCACGCATTATACTCGATGCTGAAAGATTTACACTATCAGTCGTATTATTCAATAATCTAAACTGGCTCCCTCTAACTAAATAATCTCTAATAAAGAGATGTGCACTAGTGTATAAACGGGTCCACAACTATATTATGCCTAGTTATTTAAATAATTTATTAGTTAGAAATTCAGAAATTCATAATCAAGCCACTAGACATTCAAATATAAATTATAAGTTACCACAGATTCATGGATAGGGTAAGTTATAAATTATAACTTCCATACTATTCTAACCTTAAAAATGAAACGAAAGGATAGTCATTCGAATCGTACATATGCACACATTTGTTTCCCAAAATATATAATAAAGACAACTTACTTTTCTTCTTCTTCTGTCAATGCTGGTGCCGTACCAGCCTTTCTCGCTTCCTCTAACTCTTTTTCTTTACGCCAATCCAGCCGACTCTTCTCCGGTCCATCTTTAGTTTTAGCCGCCATCTTGTTTTCTGTCCCCAAGATGCTTTTCCAGGGTCAGCATTAGATTCCATCCGCCAAAACCACCTTGGTCGAGAGGGACTGGGATGGAATGATGGACAACTCATGACTTGTTATACTAAATGAAAATTACGAAGCTACGACAACATCCCGACTTATCCCGATGACCTAAGTGTATTATTTGTTTGGGAAATTGCGTCAAAACGTTTTACTCAAGAAATGGTAAGTATTAATTTATTGTTCGATTGTAGTATTATAAAACATTTTACGCAATTTTATGCAGATATTTCACGTTTTTAGAAGGTGCCCAGATGTTACGTAGTTTTGGTGGATGTCATTAGGGAACATCCACCAAAACTTTGACCAAAACCATCAACAATATATTTTTTAAATTTTATCTATAGCCACTGTTAGATGTTCAGGGAGACAAAAGATTTATACCACTAATTAGCAGTTAGTGCTCTGGCTAATTATTTTTTATGGTGCACAATTGCTGACCGACCAAACGTTCATAATGATTATCATAACTCATAACACATAGAATAAAAAGTGGTTTTGGTGGATGTTTCTCCATCCATCCACAAAACCACCATAGCAATTTCTGCTACTTCCTTACAGAAGACTGATGCGACCTGCTATTTGGAGTACATAACCACAATCTATTTCTTTGTATGTAGAGATATTTTGCAAAGTTCTTGAGTCAGCACCTTTTATTATTGAAACCGTAATCATAACATGGTGCACAATATAGAATACAAAAGGTTCTGGTCTGGCAATCATGTAATCTTGAAACAGGAGAGTTTTTAACTGACTTAAACTGACTTAAACAGACATTTGCATCAAAATTCCAGGTCCAGAAATTTCTCCCACTATTTCCGCTAAAATCATAACCTTTAAGTACAACAAATCAGCACATCAGTAATTGTTATCAGGGGTCTGAAAATCCTATAAATCTTTCACATTTATTTCAAGTAACCTTTAATTTCACATGGATGAATAAGTATACACTCAAGATGCAGAATGTCTTACATTTTACAAATTATTTCCCTTTTATGGATAGACAGTGAAAGGCCTTTTGCCACATTGGTGAATCAAACCATTGTATACCACGCATTTTGTGATAATTGTTTGTTTTTGCTCACAATATCCAGAAAAATGGAGGGATAAATTTAAATAGCAAATTCTATTAATGGTTAAAATTAAATAACATTGGAAGATCAAATTAACTTTGTACTGTTTAAAATTCAGTTTTGGTTTATAGCTTATTCCAGCCTCTTAATATTCAAAAGCATTCCTTGTCATTTTTTTTCTTCTTCTGTGTAACATAACTTGAAAAATAAACACAGTGAAAGGAAACCACAAATGATTAAATTGAAGCTAAAGCAAAGTTTAAGTTGAGCCATAGCTGATCCAAATACTGAGTACTTTATATTGTAACCCATTTAGCAGTAAAGTTTATCTATATGTCTGCCAGCTTGTCACAAGTCTTACCCTCTCCTTCAAAAAAGTCTCTATAATAAATTTTTTTTTTGTGGTCCCTAATTGATGATAAGAATATTACAGCTCCTCAATTTCCCTCTCTCAAGACAAGGTTACTCTAAATTTAACAAAGTAATGGACTTGATAAAAATCAAACTATAACTCCGTCTGCTGGCTGCTACTTGCAACCTTAATTTCTTGATATCAGTATACAATAATCAATATGTTATAAATAAGAACCCTAATGCTTAATTTTGCAGTGATCACTTTCCTCCTTTTCATTTGCAGACCAGACTGGAACCTCTATAGGTGTGTTTGCTTGTTTTGAGAGGAGATGGAAGAAAAGGAGTCATGCTGCATGTCTGATTTATTAAACCGGTTTGTTCTGTTTATACATGAGTTGAACTACCTTGTTCTCTGAAAAAATAAAATTTCTCACATTTTTATCTGTGCTTTGCAGTCAAACTTCCTTGTGTCTTGGACAAGAAATCTTATTTTCTTGAAAACAAAATCTTTGTTTCCGGCCTTCTGTAATAGGTAAATATAACAGTGTAAGATGAGTGACAGTGTATTTCTCAAGTTATTTTTGGAATGTGACAAAACGGAAGTGTCATAGCGTGATAAGGAGCCAACATATGATTGCTTGATAGAAAGCAAAAAATGCAGAATTGCTTATATTTTCTCCTTTGTCAGCAGCATATGTTAGTGAAAAGTTCTTATAATTGTTAACTTCTAAACCATCTTCAATTTAGCCAAGATTGAACTGTTATCACGTTTGTCATTAAAGTATTCAGAGATCAATGTCATATGACCCATTCATGTATTTGACCTTTCGAATTAGCAAGCCATAGTTGACAGTAACACAAAGGTTGAGGATAAAAAGAAATTATTATATACAGTACTTCTTCTGCATCTTTTCGTTTCGTTTTCTCTCCAGCTGTTCTATCTATGCCGTGCTGGCAATTGAACACTTTCCTTCCCAAAATTAGGAAAGGCACACCAGTAAAAAACGAATTTTTGCTCCTTAAATATCTCATGCTTCTTCCACGAGTATTTTGTGACTTCTGTCCAAGGAAGGAGGTGTAAGCATTAAGTTAACCCGAATGATTCCACAATTGTGGTATCATCCAAGCCATGCCAGAGGACTTGAACTAGATAAACTAGTGAGAATGCACAATAGCGATAGCAAAGCTTTGTAATGGCAAAGAGCTATATCAATATATATATATATATATATACACCGGTGTTTCAGAAACCTTTGACAGCTTTAAAGAAAGAAAACTTCGTCGTCAATCCTGTTTCAAATTCCGCAATAAGTTTATGCGCCTCATCAACAGAATTGATGTATCCTAAATTATCTGCATGTCTATCATCAAGCAATGTTTCGCGACTTAAAATTCTCGCTATGCTGTTTCTTTTTGTTCCTCGAGAATCATGGGATTTACAGCTTCGAATGTTCGGCTACATCACTTGCGGATTTCCGAGAATCTTCGGTTATGTTTTGCAAGTCATTAAATATTCCATCTCAGTCCCTCTCGACCGAGGCGGTTTTGGTGGATGGAATCTAATGCTGACCCTTTTCCAGAGTCGTAGAATAGTGCTTAAGGCAACGTCACTTCCTACTTCGAATTTAGTAAGGGAAGGGTGGTACGATTTATGTATTTGATGAAACTTTATTTTGACGCTTGAGATTCAAAAGAATCTTGACCTAAAGAACTTTTAAAGCTAAGAATGATAAGTAATTTATTCAAACTACAAAAAGAAAAACAAATCTAAATTCACTTTACAGTAGATAAAATCCCTCTTATACCCCACCCTAGAAGTAAACATTCCTGTCTCATTAAAGCGAGACTGCAGCGTAACGCTACAGAAGACTTTAGTAATGGAGTACTTGAACACTTACCTCGCGGTATTTCTCCTGTTTCTTTCGAAAGTTTTAGCTGAAGGCGAAACAAAAGGATACCTTCGTAGAGAGCATTCCGTTTTAAAAGGTGAGTTTGACGTGGCGTTGGTTAATGGTGCTCCAAATCCTTCATTGGAATGTGACTTTTACACTCTCAAGGAAACTTTCGTGAAAGATTTGATGAGTTCGCGTTTCTCGATTCTTTTTCCTGACGATGTAAACTTCGTTCTCTAAGAGTTCGATCTTTTTCATATGAAGAATTTTTTCTTAATTTGTTCGTTCCAAAGCCTAATTTGACATCCTCAGTTAATGAAAATGTAACGGGTTTCAATATAGTTATTTTAAAATCAGGAACTGCAAATATTCAATCAGTGCCAATGTCTCATGTGACGTGCATGTGAAGACCTCTCCACAGATTTTTTTTTCAAGTTTCCTGCTTTCCTCCCAACTGATTTTTGTACCTATCCCTTCTAAAAGTTTTGTTACAGAAAGATGAATTGTAGGTCATTTCTTTGTTCATAAATGATTAATTATCCTTAAAGCGAACTTTAGAGTTTTCCTTTCTTACTTTATAAGTTACTATTATGATAACTACTACTATTTCACCCAAGAGAATCGTGCCACCATACTAGAGATTTTTCAGCGAAAATAGAACTCAAAATATTTGTTTTTGTGTCGACAATCCTCTATGATTTCTTAAAGTATTTTATTAATTACCATTCTTTTATGATAATATCAATTTAAAAATTGTACATATATTTTAGAGCTCATCTGTAAAAAGATTGCAATTACATAACAGAAAATATACCTCAACCACGATTCTTTGAGAGCAAGAGTTCTTTTGATTTTCCCCCTAAAAAAAAATTTTGAATGCCCTTACAATTTGATCATTCAGATTATGCAGCCAAAAACAAATGTTTGTTTTTCAAATTCCCAGTTATAACAAAACATGTTGGTTTACTTGTGGAAAAGGTATTACATTCATTTTTTGATGATGAAAATTGTTCTGCAAAAGTGTGGGAAGAGGGAGAGGGGGGAAGAGTTATGGAAAGGGAACACTATAATGCATCTGTTGAGTTTCTTTAATTTTGAAAGAGCTCATTACAGGCCATGAAGATGAGTGGCTAACATCCCTTGTATTATTTTTCTCACTCCCAAGATCTGATTGTTAATTCTCTCCTTTTATTGATAAACATTTCCTTGTAAATTAGTTTCGATAATTTGTTGTTAGATCAGGATTCTACATGTACCTGATAAGTGTGAGTATTCTCATTACCATTTTGTTGGATAGTGTATGCATATTATAGGGAGAAGTTACATGTTCATCACTTAAAAGGCTTAAAATGGATTGTAAAAAGGCTCTAACATTTATGGGATCGGTATCAAAATTTCTTGATCTCAGAAGACATTCTGGTCAGTTGTTCATGACTTGCATGCAGATGTTTTTATTAGACAAATTCAAATAAACTGGTTTATGGAATGACAAGAAACTAATTTAATGACTATGATAATAATTTCTCCAGGGGCTGGTCCTTCTATTCCTTATTGGGATTTCCTTGGAAGTACATTTATTTCCAGCAGCTACATTAGATTAACACCTGACCATCAGAGTAAGAAAGGGGGTTTGTGGAATAATGTGGTAAGTTGATAGAATTTACTATTACAGTACATGTACTTGTGCTTATAGTTTCATTTCTGGTGATAGCTATAGTAATTCACCAAGTGATAAAAGCTTGATTGAGTCAAAGCATCCACATTTAAGTTTTGTGTTCTGCATTCTCCTTGTTAAATCTGGCACATTTTGTGGAAATGGAAACCTGTTGATCCCTTCTAACCCTCATTAGCAAGATTTGCCGATTACTATTACATGGCTTTCCTAAAATGTTAGTTAAAATGAGTGTGATTAATTGTTTATAGTGTTCCAATACCCTCCAAAAATTGTTAAAAACACCTCTAACTGGCTTGTGTTGATAAAACTGAATTAATAAAAATCTGATATAGTTTTGTAACTTGTGTTTCTTACCAGCCATGTCATGTCAAAGACTGGGAAATGTTAATTCATTTTAAAGTACATGGAGTTGGTGACACATTATTTGGAGATGGATTTGCATTTTGGTATTCCAAAGACAGGATGCAAGAAGGTATTGACTCAATCTATTGAATTTTGTAATTAAGTATTAATTTATATAAATTAAAGTACATGACAAGTACAGACAAACTCCCAAAGTCCTTCACTTTCAGCAATTGTCTTATCTGTCACCTTTGCTTTTCTTCTTCTCAGGTGATGTATTTGGTAGCAAGGATTATTTTTATGGTCTTGGAGTATTCTTTGACACCTACAGTAACCACAATGGTGAACATCAGGTGGGTGAACTTTTTCCTGTGATCAGGTCATTTTGGCAGCACTCTGTCTATTGTGTTGTAAGACATTTTGCACCCCTTTTGATGATCTCCACTTCCTGATCTGTGAATTATGCATAATTTATTGAATAGCATGATCACCCTTACATTTCTGTAATGGTTGGAAATGGATCTCTTCACTACGATCACGATCGAGATGGAACACATAGTCAAGTGGCTGGCTGCTCAGTAAGTACATGTACATAGAGAAACCTCTAGCTTTGTTACTTTTTTTCTTGATATGGTTTGAAGCCAGTAGTAATATGTGATTGTGTAGTCTGATCATCATTGAGAATAGTCCAGAATAGAACTGTTGTCAGTTATAGGTAATGACATTCCTACCTTGTTCCAGGCAGTAAGTTTATGTAAACAGGCAAAAAATTGGGGCAAGTAGGAAAAAGAAAAGGGGGAGGAGAACAGGTAGTTTAGTGGCAACAACTGATTTGAAAACTTAAATTGGTCACCGCAAAGAGTTTAAAGGCTGACATTTTGAGCATTAGCCCTTTGTCAGAGCAAGGAGGGAGGAGGTTTCACTTGCTTGTGTTTTCACCATTTTCCACCAACTGTGAATCTGGTATGGGATAGATGTGTTGGTGATTTATGCAGAAGTCTAGATCAGTTTAGTGAAAAATAAGGGACACATAATTGTTATTGTTTTATGTTCAAAATGGTACCATCATGCAATAAATTAATGGGTTTAAAAATATGTGAGCTTCTTTGGAACTTATGTATCTATGATGAAGTTTAGGTTATTAAAGTTTATGTGTATAACTTGTATGTTGTGTATCCTGTTTGTTACACTGAGGTAAAGCACTGATAGATTGGAGTGCCTAGTGTACCCACACTACAATGTATTTTTTCATACTGCAGCAAAGTTTTCGTGGAAGAGGTCATGATACCTATGCACTGATCCGTTATTCTGGAACACAGAATCGTCTGACAGTAAGTTGACAATTATGTGACAAACCCTTGATAAACCCTTTGGATCAATGTCAGTATCCTTGCACACCTACCCTCCCCTCCCCTGACCCAACATTAAGTTGTTATCAGTTGACTTTTGTTGAGTCAGGGGAGGGGTAGGTGTGCAGTTTCTCAGATAATGACATTGATCCAACCACAATTTGATCTTGAAAGGTCAGACCCTAATTCTCTTGAGAGGAGTGGGAGGGGGGGGGGGGCACTCACCCTATGCTTTTTAGTTGGCCATTTATACTTAGGGTATATCCTTGGATTGGAATTTACAAATTGCCCTTGAAGTCACAATATTATGCATTTGAACTATTTCAAAGTATGACAGTTATTTTCCTGAGAGGTCCACAACATGACTGACAGCAGCATGAAGCCCAATTTATCTGATGAATGTGTAACTGCACTGTTGTCGTGCTATCTAATGGCAACAATTAGAGCTGTAAGAAAAGGTCAGCTTTCATCAGCAAGCTACACTGTCTTTTCAAAAGATAGCCCCTTTATGATAAAGAAGCCATCTTCTCAGTACTGTGCAATGCTCATTGGTAAAGGCATTAGCGAGACCCTTAGGTTTTCTTACTTTGTATCTCGCTGTAGTGAAGAAGTTGGAATAATTTGAGAAAGTTTCAAGGTTCTTGGAAACCCTCTTTGCAACTTATTGGATGGGTTGTCTAAGCTTTGACAACACCAATTAAAAGATTGAGAAAACTTAAATCAATATCTCTATCATGTAGAAGATCTGATAATTCACTTCTGATTTTCTTTACTGAAAAACACTAGAGGGGACTCTAGAGGGAATTTTAGAATATCTTGATTAATGAATGTTCCGGTGGAATGTGTCTCTTAAGCCTTCACCCTCCCCTCCCCCCCTTAAAATTCCTCACGGCTTTAGCAGTTTCTACCCATTTTGTCAACACAACCACATTCTCAAAGACTTACTGACAAACCTTAGTAATAATCAACTAGCTACGAGGGCAATTTTGAATACAGTGATTCTGTTGTAATTGAATGAATAGATACTGGTGGACGTAGAGAACAAGAACGAGTGGGAGGATTGTTTAGATGTAGGTGGTGTGAAGCTGCCAACAGGATTGTATTTTGGAACAACAGCAGCTACAGGACAACTTGCTGGTATTTATTGACAATTACATTTTATCGTTGACGAAGCTAACTTAGGAGAAAATGCATTTTGCTGAACTGCAATGAACCTAGAGTTTTTCTTTACTTACAATGCGACTTGAATATCAAGCGTCTATTTAGGGAGTCGCTTGTCTCATAATGAACACCTATTCAACTCAGTGTTGGTGGCTAGTGGTAGGTATTTACCGAACTGCGAAGTAGATAGTAAAACCGCAGGGTAATATAGTACAAAAAAATGATTTTAGCTCATTTATTTCTGCAGTAGCTGATTAGAGCGCGCCTTTAACGCTATAAAAAGGTTTACCCAATGAGCTTGAAGATGATTCACTCTCACGAAGGGCTAACGCTCGAACGTCAGCTTCAGAAACTCCTTTAGGTGCCCAATTTCCGTGATCATCTAAGCTGATAAAACCAAATAAGCTTGAAGATTGCCAGACTCAAAATTGATTTTTTTTCCCTTAGACAACCACGACATCATATCCTTGAAGTTCTACGAAACTGAAATGCCAGTGTCGTCTGATTCTAAAGGGGCTGATGAAGATCGAACCAAAATAGTTCCTTTTGCATCTGGTGCCGAACAATACAGAGGTAAGAAACACTTGAAATTAAAAACTTGTAAATGGAGAATATTTAGTTGTTAACGTGCGGGTGTTGACCTACTACAAACGTGGAAACAGAATAATCCTTATTTTTCCTCTTTTTTGTTCTGTATGACCATTTTGTTGTTGATTTTTACTTGAATGTTTGTATTAATGGTTGCAAATTACTACAAGCTAACGAGCACTAAAGGCCTGTCACCTTCGGCGTGGGCTCGTTTTACGCTTACCATCGCGCGAGCGTCACGCGTGGCGCGATTATACTTCGAGATTTAATTCCTCTTTTCGTAGTTATCTTTCTGTTGTCTCGCATAATTTTGAAACTCGCTTCTAAGATAGCATTTCATTTCGTCAGTCACCGTGGCTGATTGAGGCTAAATATGAACTAGAGACTGCTTAGACAGTTATCAAGTCAATACTCATAGTGCGACTCTCTGTTGATCCTTTTCTCTCCCTTACCCACTCAAGAACGCGTAGAGGACGTGCAAGGCAGTTTTTCATCAAAGACTGTAAAGGTCTTCAGCTGGCTCTTCTGGTTTGCCCTTGTTGCCGTATGTGTCGTTGGAGTCTCTATTTACGTATACCAGAAACGTCAAGAAGATTCCAGGAAAAGATTTTACTGAGTGACAATGAACGCTGGTCGTAGAAGTAGGACACTTAACTCAAAAGTCAAAACATTGTTCGTGCGGAGACTCAATTTCTTGATAAAGTATGGAATTTTGCCAAAGCCTTGAGGAGAAGAAAAGGAAAAGTGTGGTGTCTTATATGAGGTGCGACGGGTGTTTCACCAATTGATGGATTAAATATTTTTAAATAGCCCAATTAACCCAAAGTGCCTCGACCAAAACGTTTCATGAATGGAATCAGAGCGTTTGCAATCGTGGATCGAAGCCTGGGCATTCATATTTTTCGCAGACCTTGTGATTGGAGTCTCAACTTTGAGTGTGGAAATTGAAATGATCGATTAGAAAAAAAAGTAGTGAATTTGGTACAGAAAATGCACACTTATCCTTGGAAAGGAAATGTATTTCCTGCGATGGAATCAAGATGATTTATTTCATAAACTTTTCCCAATCTTGAAAACACAAAGATGTTTATTTAAACAAGTTTTATCTATAGGTCTGACAACCATTAGTAGAAAATTAGAATTTTTCTCATCGTCTGGGTGTAGAACGGAAGAAGTGATAATTTAGGGAAATCGTCAATATTTGTACATAAGTACTCGCTGTTTAGAAATTATAGCTTAATCCGGACTGCACAAGTAGATAAGTAGAGCATAGTTTAATTGAGTGTCGAAAGTTATCTTTGTGTTGGTTTTGTTATGTTTGCTCCAAAACTGGCGTGAGAATCTCGTTTCACCCTCTCAATCAATCAGGTGCAAGACAGAAACCAATCACGACTTAGGCGCTCACGATTTCCCGCGCTTTAGGCAGTGTAAGTGAAAATACCTCTGATTGACTCTGTCTGGTATTTTCCTTTTGGACTGGACCTTCTGATTGCTTTGGCGTTAGTTTTTTTACACTCCTTAAAAACGTGCTCCATTTTTTACTCGGTTTTCCGTTAGGCTAGATACGGTATCCACTCTTTTAGGGTTAGATTAGTGTAATGAGAACTTAAAGACATTTCAGTCAGGAGCTTCTAGTTGTGTTCAATAGCATTCGTCAAACAATCAAACCGCTTTGAATCCGCTTGGGGTGGGGGGGTGTGGAGTGGTATGGGAAGTAGGGCAAATAACCATCTCCTTAATAAACCTATGTTTGCTCTGCTTTCCCCTCCCCCCCGTCACGCAAACTAAGAGATTTACCTATTAAATTACGTTCACGGGCGTAGCGTTTAGTAAAGCACAAATTTAAGACTGGGCCAAAATGAAGTTGGAGAATGTTAGCTTTACACGGATAAAAATGGCTTTTTAATGAATTGTTATTCCATCTAGTTTTTTTGTAGTTACTGAATGTCAAATATATTGTTCCATGTCCTTGTTAGATTGGTGGAATAATATTTTCTCTGAAATTCACCAATTCTCTATCGTAGTGAATGGCACATTTCGCTGGATGATGGTTGAAAATCTATGAAATACCGATGCTACATATTCCTGGGTTTTACTACAACTTCCCTTGATCATAAATGACTCCCTTCCCCCCTCCCCCTCGAAAAAGAAGCGTGAGCTTTGTCTTTCGTTTCCAGTACCCTTGCATTTCTACCAGTGTGTAACACTATTGGCCCACAGAACAGGCAGACTATAAAAGCATTTTGTCTAGATATCTATGGGGTCCGAGTCGATACCGCAAAGGTTTGCGGAAAACATCATTACAAAATGAATTTCGCCACATTAGGTGGGAATCTGGGACGTGCAAGAATTTCTAACTGTCAACTTGTGTTCGCGCAGCTGCCGTTGAAGGGATGAAATTTTTCATTTCCTCTTATTCCTGTATTTGAGCTTCCTGGAATATGACATTAAGGCGAAGACCCATTGATTCGTGCTGTTTTATTTTGTGACGCAAGACATTGCGTGCATTTCTCGGAACCACGCTACCTAACTACAAAAATAGTGTTACAATTTTGTCACAGACTGATCAAAAGAAAACCTTTGACTTGAATAAGCAGGGTGCTTGACAACGACAAAGACGTCATGTTTGTAAGAACCGTCCGTGACGTTATTACCTTAGCAACTTTGGCCTCCTAAATGATAGTCTTACTTAGCGACACGATGACGCCATTTGAATTGTTGACAGCTACCTAAAATTGCAAAGCCTGCAGCAGGTCTCCTCTCTCAAAATTATTTTGTCATTCTATAAAAATCCAGCAGTTACGTAGGCAAAACGTAACATGTCTCCACTGTACCCTAACAACGCTTAACAAATCATGTACTCCTTCTGGTAGTTTTAACAAAATTTTTTACAACCATTTTTCATTTTGAGAGAATCTAGCCTTTAATCACCTACTTTTCTACGAGATCGTACTTCAAACAAGGCGATATCAACCTAACATTAAATTCATTACAACCATTACCTAAAAAGCTAAAAAATAGTCTGTGAATTCGTTTCGAATTTCACACAGTCGCACTTGACAAATCCCAGCTCTTTTGAGCAGGTTACATAAAGGTTTTACATAAAGCATTTTATTTTCATGGATCATAAAAAGAACTATATCCAATGCATGTGCAAGCAAGTCTTCATCGTTCACTCTGCCGGTAAAATGTTACTGCCTAGTAAAAGTCGGGTGTGCGTTTCGTCTCCGAAGTGTCAAATTCAGAGAGTGCCTGAATGGGCGACTCTTGTTTTACTTTCTCTGCACGCTGTAATTGTGGCACGCGGTCATCTTTCTCGAGGTTAACCAGCGGTTTCTTCTCCGGTGCACGCATACGCCAGGTGAGACTGGAGCCCTAGATTCCGTGAAGGGAAAAGTTAAGTGTTACCGAGAACAAAGTTTCGAAAAAATGGTATAGGTGACTTCAAATTCAAATTATTGTATTCCCGAGGTCCAAAAGCTTGTTGCAAATAACAAAGTACCATTTGAATTGGAAGCCCTAACGATGTATCTAACTACACAACGAAACCCTCGCCTAAAGTTTCCTTATTGATTACATCTGAAAAAAGTGATAACCACACTGTTAAGCAAAAAGTTGAATTTCTCTCTTACCCTTGCATCTCCTGACTTGTGCTGTAAACCAGAAAGGAAACGTATAAATTTATGAGTGACATCAAAAGATAAATTTCCAGTGATAAAACATTGATAAAATGTTCATTTAATTGTGTGGTTGACCCAACTCTCAAGAAACACAAGCTCAACCAAGCAACGAGATGTGAAGAGAATAAAGAGAGCGATAGCCATACCTTGGTATTAGCAACATACGAGGCCTTCACTGTAGAAATGACAGCGTTCATTAGATTTTTAGCCGCTGTGATGAGAGAAGTAGCACTGTCCAACTGAAAGAAAATAACGTAAAGATGAGACCGGATGGAAAACGTATGCCTACTTTTTTAAAGTTTTTTAATTGGAATTCGAGTCGATGTTCCCCACATTTCACAATCTTTTCGAGTTTATTCTTTCGTCAGAAGTAGAGTACAATTTTTAAGGACCTTCCACGAAAAAAAACGCAACGCATTTGAACGTCGCTTCTTTAGCTTAACACCCGATGAAGGCAAAAGTTTCCCACCCCCCACCAAAAAAAAGAAAAATTTTGTTGTGAAATAACAATGATTCAAATGGAGATTAGAAGTTATCATGTTACTGAGGAGCAGTGATAAAGACGAACTTACCCCGGACACTACAAGTTCACCACTGATCATCTGTACGTCAGCTTTTACTCGGGCTGTGATGGTTAGCTGATGGGAATACAGTGCAATGCGCTGTATGTACGCTAACAGATCGTTCTTTGAACTTGAATCAGGACACTAATAAAAATATAAGTAGAAGTTGGCGTATTAACCAAATGAAGAAACGCAACAATTTCAAAAATCAAAACCCTGTTCTAGGATTTCAGTCAGTTCAGAAGAGTGAAAATGTCGAGCGAGAGGAACATAGCCTGTTCCTTCCGAATGCAGTTTTCACCTACTTCACTTGTCTCCACTGAGTCAGAGTCTAGCATAAACTATACTCAACAAAGAGCTTAGAACCTCTAATCCACACAACAAAATTAGAGCGCTTTTTTAAAGAGCATTTTGGGCCCAGAAATCTATTTCAGCCGCTGCCAAAACATGTTGATCAATAATGCCTCCTTGAGTTAAGAATTTACCTTCTGTGCAATTTCGGTAGCTTTTTCATTCATCTTTCTTCCAGCTTTGGCAATTCTCTGAAGAATGAAGAACGAATAGCATAATCATCGATGGTCAATTAACCCTGAAATTCACCCAAAACACTGTTCCTTACCTTAGCAGCATCAATCACATCCATCGTAGTTTTCAGCGGTCCTGTTCCCCTGAAGTCAAAATGACAACAAAAAAAATAATGAAAATTTCACAATTTCATGGCTTATTGACGACAGTTCTGTTTTCCAATAAAAACGGGGTCTGAGTTAGAGGTGTTATCAGAAGCATAAAGACATCATCGGAACAACCAGCATAATATTGATATCGTCTGTGACTCCGTTGCTAAACCCGTAACTTCCTTGAGTGACCAAGACAGATTTTCTCCTCACATATATCAGACAGACAAGTTATGAAAATAAAGATAAATATTAATTAGGGAATTATTAGTTGATCCAATACCAAAATTCTCCGATCTAACATAATGAGAAATGTATAGCAGACAGACTTTGAGGGTAGTGCCATACTCGGAAGCCTCGGAACCAGCATTACAATGGATAAATTTGCAACTACGACGATCTTGGTTTCAGAGGAGAATTTGCGGAATCGGATGAACACAAACACGTTCCGAATTCCTCACGACTCCAACTCCGTCGATCTTGCGGCTCCGCTTACGAATCCACCTTCCAATATTCAATACCTCGTGAGCGCTCCAACGACCTCGTCTCCAACTTCGCTTCCGTCTCAAACTCAGACACTCGCAAAAACCATTATAAAAACGTACTCTACCTTGTGAAGTCGGACATTTCCATCATCATCATGCACATCTTCTTCGCCAGGATAATAATATCATTTCCGCTTTCGTCCCATTTGGTCAACTCTCTTTCCAGCTTTTTCTTCTCTAGTTTCAGTCCCTCGGCCAGCTGTTCAATCTTAGCTTTTTCTTCTGCTGGCAGAGCTCTCATAAGGGACTGGAGACAAGATCAGAAATAACCAAGAATTAGTGTTACAAACTCAAGAAGGCGATTATGTGACGAGTGTAGAAACTGAATACTTAAGACGGATTTTTTGGATTTTAAAATTCCTGCGGATTTTCTGGATTGTCCACGAAAAAACAAAACAAAGTTATAAGCTATGTGGGAGAATAAAGTGAAATATCATGAATATAAGAGACGTTTCTTTCCTAGACAATGTTCTGCTGCTTGAAGAGAAAGTCGAAAAAATTAGGTCCAAAGGAAATTTCGGTACACTCGGACCGCAAAAATTTGCTCCGATGCCGTCATCCTTCTGAATTAAACTACCACACAGTTTTCAAGCTACAGAACTTCCTCCTTCGCGACTGTATTTTTGCTTTAGTCATACGACACGCAACGCGCGACGCGCGAAACTCGACACGCGAAACACTCCCTTGCCTACGGTAAATGAAAGAGGACAAACAGTGGTATTCCTACCCTTGCACTCCTCTTTGATATACTCTTATCCTTTTCCCATTCGTCAGTGTCATCAAACTCAGACCGTGCCTCATAATCAGAAACTGCTCCCTCAAATTCGTAATCAGACACTGGTTCGTACTCAGACTCTGCTGCTGTCATGGCACCTGTGGACAATCCAACAAAGTAAATATCCCACTAATCTCGGGTTATGGAATAGTAAATATCTCATTCAACCCACGACATCTTACTTATTTCCTCCTCTGCTGACGGACTAGTCAGCATTTCTTCGATAACTGCAGGTCCCTGGTACCGCGGTTGGCTTATATTTTTTGCCCATTTAACTTGCCCGGGCCCTGTGTACCCCACGAAGGCCCAAGAGCCATGGAACCCAGGATGAACATTGCCTGTGGCACCTATCTCATAAAGAGCCTCCTTTGCGTCATTCACGGAAGTACCTGTTGAATCAAGTGAGAAAAACCATGAGAGTTAATGTTGGTAACTGGAAAAAGTAAAGTCAAAACTATGACGGTATTTAAGAAACAAAACACCTATCGATTTAAGGCACAAGTAATAAATGGCAACAACAGAGATTACTTTCTCTGCGAAAATTTTAAATTCAATAGTCGGTATAGCAAATAGAACACACCGTCCAACTCAAACCGGCATGACGCCTAAAATTCCCCTTAGACAATCAAATTACAGGCATAACTGTCAAATTAGTGCGCAAATCGGGCCTCCTATAACCAATCACGTTAAAGAACTGCGGCACAGTTTTGAACAATCGTTTGCCTGAACGTCATACTTGGTAATCACTGATTTGTGTGAAGATCCCACAAAGGTGCCCATAGATGCAACAAACCATACTCACCAGTGGTTCCCTGAGTACCAATCAGCACTATCCTCTCCTGAGGAAGCTGTTGTAAGAACTTGGCCATCTTTGCCCCCTCCCCTTTAGACGGATCTGCTGTGTCAAAGTTAGCCGCCATGATAAAGTTTCTGTCACTGTCCAGTATGACAATATTGTGTCCTCGCTGCATGGGCGATCTCTCGATGCCATTAACTTTGATTGATGTTCGGCCTGTTCCCTTTGGATCATCTTCTCCGGTAGCGACGATCGCAACACGAACCATTCCTGAAACAACGCAGCAATAGACTTTACACGGGTATCACTTTTTATCACTGTTAATAAAATTACCAATACAAATGAGACTTGTTTCAAAAATAGTTCAATGAACCAACAGACTTCCGGTGTTCTGATGGAAAAGAGATTTCCACTACAACACGCCCCAGCATTGGCCCTATCTCACCAAAGAGTATTCCGTAGCTTAATGGTGCAACATCGGAGGTCTGAGGTTAGAATCTTTCGGGGGACTGGGGTTTTTCCTTTGTCCGACCTTCGTAACATGAAACACAACACCTTCCTATACTATTACAGTCTTGTACTGAATACTACTAGTTGTTAGGATATCATGTTAGTGAGCCCGTAGTTCATCTCTTCTAAAGCTTGTCCTAGACTGTGCTGCATGAAAATAATAGTAGTATTGCTAATAATGTGAGAATTAAAGCAATTACTGTAAGAGTTCTGAACCAAAAACAAAACAGCATGCCATTCTGTGATCCACTATGACTCTCATTTACTGGTACACATATCTACTAACAATCCACAAAGTCGAAAAATGGCTATCAGCAGCAAAACGAAAAATATTAACAAATTAAGACAACGAACCTTTCTGTGCGGCTGGAGTGGGAATGAGTTGTGCCACAATTGCCGGTCCATGGTACCTGGGTCGCACCTCAGCTTTAGTGTAAAATCTTGGTGCGGGTCCAGTACAGCCAGAGAAGGCGTAAGATCCATGAAAACCAGCGTCAAATGGTCCCTCTGCTCCAAGACGCTCCAGCGATGGTGCTGCGGCGGCCACATTATTACCTAAAGATCAAACCAAGTAAAGCAATTTTCAATTCAGTGTCAAAAGTAAAGCATGGCTTCGCCCTCCTTCGTTATGTGATTGGTCTAGAGACCCAACACCACCCTTCCCACCGATTAGAATAAAAAAAAAACCCAGTTGCGACTTGGCGTTTCGTCGCGCTTCAGGAAACTTGCCTGTTTTCATTTTCCAGTCACATTGAAGCCTTACAATATTTCCATCAGTTTTACTTATCGAATGCTTTTATTACTTTGGTTTTGGTTCATCACAGTGTATCCAATAAATTTTGGAGCCGCAAGAGGCAACACACTTATCTTCTGTCCCTTGCGTATGTAACAACTGTGTAGCTTATTTCATGCTAACATAACGCTGACGCAAACTTTGCATTTTTAATGAAATTTTCTCTCAAACGCTTGGTAGCAAGTTAAGAAAAAATAGCAGACGCTTCGTTATCTAATCAGGATATCGAGACGATTGTAACGCGCCATGACCAGGCCGATCGACCTCAAGAACTGTTCTCTTCGTTTTTAACCCTTACCCTGCTCTCGGCTTGTCAGCTCCTGTGTGGCCACAAGAACAACATGATCCTCAGGAAGTTGGTTCAAAAACTGTCCCATAGCCGGGCCTTCCCCTGAATTGGTGTTAAAATTTCTGACTGCGTACACGTCACCAATCGGATCAAGTACAACAACATTGTGCCCAGGCTTCCTGGGGCAATGTTCCACACCGTTCACCTTGATAGACGACACACCCATCCCCCCTTCATCTTCACCTCCTTCAGCTCGCACTTCAAATTGTAATTTACCTAGAATGAAAAACAGAAGTTGGGGCAACTTTTAAGTAAGCATTTAAAATAACATTGGTTTTTCTCTGCATTTTCCTGCGAAACTGGCGCCATCTTTCAACCAATCAGAAGCCAAATGCAAATCAATAGTAAATAAAATAAATAAATCATGCAGTTTGCTTGTCTTTAATGTGATTTCTAAAAGGCTCCTGTCATATTTTCCTTGGTGCCTTTTGCGATCATATTCAAGAATAGATTGAAGAGAATATGGTTTCACAGACTCGTGCATCATGGAACTCCTCACTGGACACTCTCGGCATGTGCAAGTTTTATCTTTTCTCTGCATAATCAATCACTTTGTTATGTCAACATACCACTCGCTTTGAGTTGTTCATAGGCAGCTTGTTCTCTGGCACGAGCCTGTGCCTCGGCGAACAGCACAGCAGCTGCATCCTCCATTTCCACTTCTTCACCAGGACCACCTCGTCTCTGCCAAGACAAAAATAACAAAATGCAGATGTGAGTCAATGTTTCTCTCGCGATCATAACAGTGTATGTATCAAACATATATCCCGTAACTCATCACTTTAAAGTCCTCCCCCCCCCCCCAAACAATGTTGCATGAAAATTAGTGAGCATTTTGTTCACACCAGCACCAGGCAACATAGGAAAGAGGAAGGGGGGGAAATGAGGGCGGTTACAGACGACGTTTGCCACTCACTATAGCATCTTTGCAATTAATCTTTTCTTATTTTCTATTCATCGTTATTTCGTTGATTACTTCTGACTCGCTGAACGGATCGGCCAAGAAATGAGAAACTGGCCGCAGGAAAGAAAGCTAATGGAAATGAAACTAAAGATGGATAAAGATGGGTGTAATAAAATGAACCTACCCTTCCAGCGAGAACAGCCTTCCTGATGTCTCTTATACCTTCATACACCTAAAATAATAACACAAGTATTACCCTGGTATTTAAACATTTACCTTCTGGTTCAATTAACATATCCTGGACGTAAACCTCAGAATAGCCAGGCGTTAATTTTTTAATCGGGTTTTTCGGGCGAACGGAAGAAAACGCTTGAGGCTAGTCACGCTCGTTAGAAGGGGCGCGAAAACATGATCCATCATTTTTTTCCGCTCTTCCGCTCTACCAATTGACTCACCCCGCGCGCTTTCCTCGCACTGGCATTGTGTTTGCCTGTGCACGCCGGAACGAACGCAAAAAACATATCAAACAAGCTGATCCTGGTTTAAACGACCACGGCTTTTCCAACAATTTTAGAAAGGGTTGGTTTCGAGTTCATGTAAAAGCGATATTTCCAAATTGTGTTTGTTAGCAAGTTTTCCTCTGATAAATTATTACGGTCATTTTCCAAGACTAGTACCTATATATAACTGCTGCACTGAACGTTAAGCTTCAACTTACCAGTTTAGAGGCATCAATAAACTGAGCCTCATCCACTTCTCCGTGTGGATCTTTAGCCAGTGTGTTTACAGATCTCTCAACATTCTGAGCGAAGTGTGGAATCACTGAAAAGGAACATACAGAAGCATATGTTGTTAGACTCTTAATGTAAGATCCAGAGGAAACACCTATACTGTACTTCTGCTTCCCTGGGAGTATCACTGTTTCCCACGAAGAATTCAAGGGTAAATCGAAACTAAAAGGAAAAACAGAACATAGTTGTACTTTTTCTTGCCATGAAGGATATTAAGGGATTTAATTTCTTTGAGAATTTTCGTGAATCATTTTCGTCGGACGGAATCTATAAGAGTTTGTCATTATTCAATTCGAGCAAATGCTTCACTCTTCTTTTTTTAACATGAATAAAAAATTGCATTGCAATTGTTGAGATTTGTTTACTCAAGCCATACATGTAACGACAGTACGTCGATGCACTGGTCATTTTGGAGTACTCGCGTATAAAAATACTTTTCATAACGTACAAGCTAGAGTTCTTACCTTCATTCCTCATGTACATGACTGCTCTCATCACATTATCCGTGTATGGCCCTTGTTGGTAGTTCTCCATTTCTGCAGTGACCACATCTTCCAGTCTTGCTGTGCGTCCACGTATCTGTCCAGCAGTCCTGTCCACATTCTCGGGATCTCTCTCTTGCAGAGCCTGGACACATTTGTTCACATCTTCCAAGACATGAGCCTCTGATGGATCACAACAGAGAACACCCTAACATCAATGTCCAGATTCTCCATAGTTTTACCCTTCCCTATAATTATACCGTATTTCCTTTGTTACTGACCTTTATCAGAGGGAGAATTTGATTTTCTTGACCTTAATGTGTGATTCTGTATTCTAAAACCAAATTCTCCCAACTACATGTAATTTACGAGGTTTGCGTAGTAGCTGGGGGAAGAATTAACCATCAAGATCTTGTGAGTTGAAAGAGCTACACAACACTGCACACTTAGGTGACAAGGGCACAGGCAGGATATTCCAGTAAGGGGTCTCTTTGAGGGATAAAACTGGTGATAGCATTCAAAATTATTTCATTATCATAAATTCAATCATCATTTATTATTGATGAAGATGATTGTCACAAACTTCCTTCCACCTCCTCTCCTACACTCATGAAATGCACTTACCTGTAGTAGCTAAAAAGTCTTCAATTCCAGTAATGTCATCAACAGCCTCAGTGAGAACCTGCAATTGCTGTTCCCAGGCCTCTTTGAACACATCCATATTTTCTCGAGCCACCTTACTATGAGGACGGGCAGCTAGTGTTCGAGCAGCGTTAATTACCTACAATTCATACATAAATACACACAATAAATGACCAACTGTAAAGTTACTGCTTTGAATCTAAATACAGAACAAGAATTGAGGCAAATTTTCCAAACTATACTTTTGAATAGTAGAGGTACAATACATACAGTTTTTGGAGCATACTTTTTCATTAAAACTTTGATCCTTAATTACAATCTCATTGTTTATGCAAAGCTGATCCTTACCTGAGGACACAAGTTCTGCAATCTCTTGGCTGCTAGTCTCACCATCTTTACCTTCTCAGGATTCACTGACATAGAACAGGCAAGATTTGCCACCTGAAGAAATGCGAAGAGCAAAAATTGTTTTGAAATAGATTCAATAACATCAGGTTACTATGTAATCCTTTTGATATAGATTCAGATAAAAAAATCAACCTATCCCTTAATCACCATGGATTTATTGCTTTAAGTTTTCTGATAGGTTCACGTGTCTGTCCTATTAATTTGTTTTCCAGTATGGTAATGTATGATACAAAAAGAGAAAGCTAAAATTTACACTAAGGATGAAACTGAATAGTAACAAATATGCACAATGTAAACTATTGAACCAAATAACTAAACTAATTAAAATGAAAAATCACCTCTTCAAGTTTTGCAGCATGGTCTGTAAATAACTTGGCACATTCTTCTACTTCTTTCTCATTCCCTGCTTGAGCTGCTTCAATCATCATGATCAGTGGCATTGTGGTCTCCAAGAAAGAATCAGAAACATGATCCACAACTGCACGACGCAACTAGAAAACAAAATCAAGAAATATTAGTGGCTTTCCTTTAAAGTAACAGGCCACATTCTGGCCAAGCACTGGTTGATTCAAATGGACTTGCAGATTCAGTCTGCAGCAGTAAAAGGAATGGAGTTACATGTAAGTAGACTTGCTTTAAAAGATGTCAGTGAGTAAGCATCTACAAGATGGAACTAAAAAGGCAGGAGTCAGATGTATGAAAGGAGGAGGGCTGGTTTCACAATGCTGGAACTAGGGTATCTGGGTAGGTCAACACTCTAACCTCCTTGCATTCATCCCAGATTTTGATGACAGGTGTTTTCAAAGGCCTGACAAAATCACTCTATAGGGGAAAAATAAAATATCAAAAGCTGCCTTATTCATGAATTATTTTACCTGGCCTCTCAGCTCCCTGGTTCGGTTACACATCCTTTCCAGGGCCTGGTCTAGAGACCCTCCAGGAGCAGCCTTCTTCTTTCCTGTGGCCTATACACCCAAAAAAGAAAAACAAAATGTCAAAAGACTGTAACAAAGACTTAATTTCCACAAATACCAGATTCTGCAAAAACATCCCTATACCACAGCCTTGGCACTGAACAAGTCAGTCTAACTTTTAACCATTAACAACCTAACATCAGTATGCACAGTCTTCACTTTTCCCCACAACTTTGTATGGTAGTGAAAAGGCGAATTTGCTGAATAACCCAGAACTTCTAAAGTTGATGATCGCTCCTTACTCTTATGAATTAACAATTGATTCACCAGTGATACTGTAGGGAGAAATTATGGGTCAACAGCTGGAGTTTTAAAGCAAGTTTTACATTGGACCACTGTCCTCAAAATGTCCCATCAATTTACGATACGTGTTATCTGCTTGAGTAATATGGAGTTCTTACATGATTCATATACTCTGACAGTAGATCCTGGAGAGCTTGCCGCACACCATTACAGCTTGCTATAATCTTGTCCCGTGTATCATCTCTTGTTGATATTGAGTCAGCTAACTGTGCTGCTCCGCTGATGATGCTTTCAAGACGCTGCTCCAATGTGGGACGGGTGCGCTTTTCAGAGTATGAAGTTGGATCCATGTTAATCTGGGACTGAAATACAAAGAAACATGCACAGTTTAAGCTGTACTACATGACTGGATACTTTGAAAATAAAAAAGGAAGCTCATCCTAATAACTGGGTATTATGACACAATTTAATTAATCACATGAATGTGATAAGATGGAATAGCTTTAGATTATATTGGATAAGTATTCCTCTCGACATGTTCTATAAGTATCACTCAGCTAAGCACATAATGCAACATGTTAAAATGCTTCTGCATAACTTTTATATCAAAATGTCCCTCACTGCCATACCCAGTAATGGAAGGGGTGGCAATGCTGTGTGGTGACAGGTGCTCTGGGGGTTCCAAGGTAAACTATGAATTGTGCCTTTAACTTATAAACAGATTTATCCATGGTTGTCCCATGTTCAATTCCCCTGTGGCACCTCAAAAGTAGTCCACTAGTTTGCCAACAACAGCTGAGACTGTAACCAGTTAATACTAGATATTCACTTATTTCCTTGCTTAGGCCTTACAGTGTCTGACTCAGTAAATTTCCAAACAGGTGCTAATTGCTTGATATTAGAAAAATTTGATAAAATTTGTTTGTCTTCACAATCTACTCACATCAAAGTCATCCAAAGCTGTTGCCAATGCCCCTGGAGTCTCATATGGGTGAGGTCCACCTGAGCCAGTAGCCTGTGTTGCACCTGAAATGGCATTCACTGCTTCAGACATTTGCTTCATCACATAATCCCTGTTGGCTTTTGCAGAATCCACTTCAGGATGACGCACATAGGCCTAAAAGAAGCACAAAGGTCAGCACAATACTAAAAAAGTTCTTAATTGAAAAGTTTTATGAGACACCCAGGTACTTAGTTTTGCAGAACTTACATGTCTCTAGGAGGGGGGGGGGTGTTTCCTGTATGTGTTTGTGATTTGCCAACATTCATTAAAAGCAATACAAACCTAGAATTGTGTTTCAGTCATTGACAGATTTTAAAATAAGTCCCTTGCGAAAATCGTGCAAATCTCCAGCTGTGTAGTCTCTGATCAAGGGGAGCTTTCAGCCCTTAATAATTAACTGAATGGTTTCTATTTCTTTTAACTGTTAAGTACAACTAAAAAATGACTGCTAAAATACAGCTGTAGATTTGCAAAAGGTCAAGTAGAACTTGCCTAATAAACACTGATACAGCTGCAGACAATGATTTAAAGGAATTTACCTTAGAGGAGGACAGCAGCATTTTACTTGACTCTTTAAGAGTAGCCCTAGCAGCAGCCATGTCATCTTTCCTATGTGGATCTTTTAAGTCCTGAATATTTCAAGGAAACAAAAGTTGAATCATTAAATGGTGAATTCAGTGTCAGTTTAAACTGTCTGACCAAGAGGTCACAGAACCAAGAAACCTCTAGAAAACAATACTAAGATCACTTACTGCTTGTCTCTTGCCAGAAAGTTTTGCCAAGTCCATCAAGTCATTCCCAAGATTCTTAAAAGAATTCAACAAGTCTGCAGTGTTACTAGCTTTTTCTAATTCCTTTAGTCTCTTCTCCACCTAACCAAAGTAAACAACAAAAATGATTCAAAATTTAACTTATGAAACAACTACAAAATTAGATTAACACCTAATGAGAGGGGATTATATTTGTGTCAACAATTTCTTGTGACTCCTAAATCAGACCCAAAACTGCTGACACATAGGATCTTCTGTTGGTCAAAGATGCTGATGCAGAGTATTTTGAACCACAAGGCAAAACTTCTAACCACTTGAAGAACACTTTTAACAATGATTTTGAATAACATGCAAAAAGTGGAACTAACAGCCATCAAAATTCATATGGAAGAACAACATGGAAGAATCTTAATATCTCAGAGGGGAGAAAGAAGAAGGGGATGTTGGTATTACTGTTAGTATTAAATCAAAATGTTTTACTGACCAGTTTCAGTGAGGCAAGGAGGCGATACACATCTGCCATGTCAGCAACACACAACAACCTTGTAACAGAGGACAACAATGCCCGAGCAGCCCTGACCATTGAAGCTCTTTTGGCTGACGAACATGGATCATCTGCAAATTCTTTGGCTGCAACTCGCATTGAATCACCTGAAAAGCAAGATGAAAACCTTTAACTCTTGACAAATCTACTAGTAGTTACATATAAGAATTGTAAATTAAGAATTTTAACTAAGTGCTGTACATAGCTAGCTGCTGGTAATTATTGCCAACATTGTGGCTACTAGGATGTTATATAAATTTTCTGTTTAGTTACTGACAGCAATGATTTATATGTCCAATCTCCAATTATCCTACACTTAAGGAAAAGTTATGTCTGAGTAAAATGAAAACTAAAAGAGAAATAATGAGGTCATGTTCAACCAGTAAGACAACATATTTTCAGCAACATTTATCCCTTAAAAATGTAAGGACTACCAAGGCATACAGATGATGTTGATAGACAAAATATAGCTTAATGATTAAAATACCATGCAGACATATTGAAAGACAAGATCAAATCTTTATACTTAAGAAGATCAGACCTTCTTTGGCTTCTTATTCAACTGCCTTAAAGAAGTTTAAAAAACAATTTAATGGCAATTCCACTGATAAAATCCAGCTAACCCAGGCCATACCTGCCCCACGACAGTCCTTGCATGCTGCTAACATTTCTTCTCTGATTTCAGGAAACTCTTGAGCAATTTCCTCCCCTGTTTTTATAAGCCGAGCTGTAGCATCTTCAATGTCTTGGGCAAGCTTATGGGCATTCTTAGATTTTCCAAGTTTGCTACCCTTTTTCTTTGGATGATTAACCAGGGTTGTTACCTGCAAACAAGAACATGGTTGATCACTGTCATGAAAAGGTCTTGTTTACACATGTACCCTGACAGAGATTTACTTGTTTTCCAGGAAAGATGCATCTTACATGAATTAATGATAGAGACATAAAAAGGGCTCTTTACCTTCAGAATTCAAGCATTTACAATATTATTAGATAAGAAAATGCCATCACATGCAATTCCTTTCTATTTTAGGGCTTGTTTAAGATTAAAATTTTTGGTGGTGGAAGCTGTTTGAAAATTTTTAGGGAAACTTAACTCTCTTTACAGCACTTGAGACATGGAGATCATTGCTGTGTTAGTGGCACAAATTGCAGTCCTTTTGAAAGACTGCATAACAAATTTTTGGGGCACCATTAACTTTGGTCCAGGGAAATAACTTTCTTTTTCTATCTACTGTGAGGTTTGGTTTGTCATGATCTCTTATATCAAAATAATGTCATGACATAAAATATAACAGGGGAAAAAATTGTGGATACACACTGACATGTTCAACTACAGTTGTGGAGTCACTGTGCATGCACTTACAAAACTTTTCAGTAAAGTTATTATCAGTTGACAACATGAAACATTCCAAGATCAGAGAGGCAACATTTAACCCCATGCAGGGTAGTAATTTCTTTATAATTACAGGAACGAAAGGTAACTCATCCTTGACAACCTTGATAACTGTCAGGCGCAATGAAAGGCGGCACCGAAGCAATTACTGTAACTCACTTGATAAAACCTACACATGACGTTTAACAAGTGACAGTCCTGGACTCAAAACCAAACGAGGCGAAGAGACTTCCATAGATTATTTACACAAATACGCGGTTGATTATATTTTTGGTTGCCATTTTACGAAAGGAAAATGGCCGCACCCTCGTTTATCGCTGAATTCTTAGTAACGAGACACCGGTAAATCGCCGGTTTAAATAGCTGAAAATTTCCTTATCAACGGTTTACAACATTGATTTTAAGGATTCGCTAACAGCACGGACGCAGAATACCCGGTGGTCTAACGTACATCCAATGACAATCCGTAATTTGTTGCTAAAATTCGTTCAGTTTTAAGCTAAACGATGGCCCAGTGAACAGAAAGGAAGAGTTAAGTAAACGTTGACAATATTTTGACTCTGTTCACCTGGAATTAAGTGTAGAAGATCTTACCGCCAAAATGGAGATTATACAGGGTTTTCACAGAGCTCTAGGTAAGATAAAAAACTTGAATTTTGCTCTTAAAGCTAATTTACATGTTAAAGTAAAAACACTCGAGCTGCGGCAAGAACAGTACGGAATATTTCATCGTTCGACGAGACACCAATTTGATCGAGGAGAAAAAACTTGGATACATGGACGCTCTCCGCTCTTCGCAACTGGACAGAATGTTTTTCGTGAGCCATCACTAAGAAACCGTGTTGAGACATCGTTTGATATTTCAGAAAGTAACTCCACTAAAAATCGAGGTAAGCTGGATAACCCAACGATACAAAATTTACCTGGTGAACAAGTGGCTCGAGGGTCTTCTCGACTGAATGCGTCCGAATTTCTAGTGTTTTTGGATCCCATTTCATTTTACTCTTCTCCACTTTTATGTCGCCGGTCACCGAAGTCGTCCCTCGACTCATGGTTGCATAAAAACGTCCTGAAACGTCAACAGGACACCAGCCACAATCACTAAATTTAGAAGTGCGTTTGAAATATTTCTCGCCAAGCTACAAAACGGATATGTGGATTATTTTTATCACGTGACTAGGTTGGAATGCTGCGCCTAAAATTATTTTGAGGGAGGGAGGGCTAGGCAAAATTACCAGATGAATGGATGAAGAGCTAATTCTATCTTCACTGAACAAATCATTAAATTTATCGTATGAAACTGTAATGAAGACGTTCGTGAGACCAGATAAATCACATTTGTTGGTTTTTTCGTTGCGACAAAACTATTTTTTTTTTGGTTACATGAGAGAAGGGGGTGCGTTTTGCCAATAAAAAGCGTTTCGAATAACACATTTTTAGATTACATTTTAGATTAAATTTTCTCTCCTATTGATCAACCGCAAGTTTAAAAGGTACGAAAAAAAACGTTGAAATAAGGTTTTTTGTAAAGCCAACCATGGGGTTTAGAAAACAAATAAGGCCAAGAAAAAAAAGGCCAAGAAATAAAAATCAGTTTACACGGCGAAAAAAAGTGGGAAAGAAAAAAAATTTGGCGGAGAGTAACAAAATTAAAAAAAAGAAAAGGTGTTGTGGTCCGTGAGAGGCTCGAACTCTCGACCTCGGCGTTACTAGCATCGGATACTAGATCCAGGTGTTATCAGCACCGCGCTCTGCCGACTGAGCTAACGGACCAGCTCTGATGACTGCACAGGGAAAATTTAAATAAAATAATCTATTAGTCTATGGCAAGTCCATATTTGGAGTCTTCCGGTAAATCCTCGTGAATCATCGTCGGGACGTTCATCACGAGATCGTCAGTCTCGGATGGCCGCCATCTTCTTCAGAAGCTACAATGTTTATGTCCTTACGTTTAGTTTTATTACAGCTTCTGCTTTTCTCAGGTTTGTAAAATGTGAGGCCCGCGTGACAGGAATAAGTCCTGTCGGTGATTCAGGTGGTAAATCATCCATCGTGGATGGTGTTCTCGTAATAGCTGCGGATAATTTAGTGACGCTACGATTCTACGGTGCAGGGTTTACGCATAACTCTCGCGTTGCTTTTACGACTACCGCGGGAAAATCTCAGACAAAATGCGATGAGGATCGAACGAAGCCTGTAGAGTTCACTGCAAACAACCTTCAGCAGTATGTAGGAGAAGCCAAAGTGAGTTTACCGAAGGAAAGCTGTGGGAAACCGCATTATGTCTGCCTTCAGTCCAGCAATGAAAGCGAATGGTTACATCAAGGGGGTTCAGACGATCCTCTTCTTCAGGTTAAGTGCGAAGGAAAGACTGATCTACCTCTGTGGCTGAAGATATCATTTATCGTAGTTTTGATGTTGCTGTCAGGCTTGTTCTCCGGGCTCAATTTGGGGCTAATGGCTCTTGATCCAACAGAGCTTAAAATTGTCATGAACTGCGGCAATTCCAACGAACAAAAGTACGCCAAAAGTATCACTCCACTACGCAAACATGGGAATTACCTTCTCTGTACGTTGTTGTTGGGCAATGTTTTAGTAAATACGTCCTTCACAATTCTTTTGGACGGTTTAATCGGCAGCGGAATTGCTGCTATTTTGGGTTCCACCGCTGGAATTGTTATATTTGGCGAAATAATGCCTCAAAGTATTTGTTCCAGGCATGGTTTGGCTGTGGGTGCACACACCATTTGGATAACGAGATTTTTCATGATAGTCACTTTTCCTGTGTCTTTTCCTATTAGCAAGATTTTAGATTGGATATTAGGTGATGAGATAGGCACAGTATACGATAGGAGACAGTTACAAGAAATGTTAAAAGTTACTGCAGAATTCAATGATTTGGAAGGTGATGAAATGAACATCATCTCTGGAGTATTAAATTACAAGAGTAAAACTGTCGAAGAGGTTATGACTAAGTTAGATGACTGTTATCTACTGGATATATTGTCCATCCTTGATTTTAGAACTATTGCAAGCATTATGCAATCAGGGCATAGTCGCATTCCCGTGTTTGATGGTGAGCGGCATAATATTGTGGGCTTGTTACTGGTTAAAGACTTAGCTTTTATTGACACGGATGACTGTACTCCACTGCGCTCTGTTATTAAATTCTACAATCATCGTGTTCAGCGAGTCTATGATGATGTGCATTTGGATACAATGCTTGAAGACTTTAAAAAGGGGAATTCGCACTTGGCAGTAGTTCAACGTGTGAATAACGAGGGTGAAGGAGACCCCTTTTATGAAGCCATAGGTATTGTTACTTTGGAAGACATCCTTGAGGAAATAATCCAGTCAGAGATTGTGGATGAAACAGACATCTATTGTAAGTATAGTATCTCTTTGATAAATAATTTGTATTGATTAGCATGTATATTATACATTTTTTTGCAGGAGTAAAACAAACATTGAGAAACTAGAGCTCATGAGAATTTAAAGTAGTCTATGTGGGTAACCACATCACCACAGTTTGAATAATGAAAGAAATCTTTCTTTGCAAGAAGTTACATTATTTTCCATACCTGTCTTATGTTCAGTGATAAAGCTCGATGTGCTTTGAAAATTGTTAAAAAAAAAATGAAGAAATAGAAAATTTATTGTCATTGGTGAACTATTTAATATCAACAACATCAATATACATGTCAATTTCAGCTATTAAAACACATGATATTATTCACTTTTTGGAATGATTATTGGCCAATGTTGTTTCACCAAAATTGTTTAAAATAAATTACAATATTTTAAGATTGAAGTAAGCTGCTTTATACTTATTAGGTCCAGTTTTTCCTGAGATTTTCTTAAAGTAACAGAGGTGCAAATGGAAAAACTTGTTTTGAAAATATTGTTGTTTATTGTGAAAAATTTGTGGCTTGAAGTTCACTATCATTAATTATAAAAGCCTGCATTGATTTGGCTCTTCTTTAACCTTGAAGTTGGTTCGATTTGATTATTACCCACAAATAAAATTTTCAGTAATATAAGCAATTGAATACACTGCATTTATGTGCAAGTAAATATTTCTTCATCCTCATCTTCTAATACACACACTGTAATGAAAAAGAAAATGCTTAATGCAAATCAGGTGTAATTTCCCAATTTAAACCATTTTTCCAGATTCTGTAGTATCTTTTTTATTTAATTAAAAAAATGTATATGTAAAAGTCACAGGATACCTGTGAAATATCAGCATGAGATATTCAAAAGAGATTAAGTGGCTTGGTGTTTCACAGGAGAATTGCTTAATACCCTAGAAAATAGCTTTAAATACTGTTTGTCCTTAATTTTATTCCATTTTTTCTTGTTTTTTTGTTTTTCTTTCTCTCTTTCTTTTTTATTTTGTCTTGTTTTTTTTTTCTGTCTTTGTGTGTCTGTTGCCCAAGTTTACAGTTATCTTATTTTATAAATCTGATCCTGTACTTGGTGTGATTATATTGATTGTCTGGCACCCAGGTGTTTTGAGTGTTTTTTCATAAAATTAATGTTAACTATTTGAAATGGTTTGTAGCTCAGTTCCAAGAGTATTTGACGGTTTATCATTACCCTGCTTTTAACTAAACAATACCCTCACCATTAGTTGGGTCTTATAGAATAAAGTTAGAGAAATGTTGACAAGCAGACTCTTGACAGAAGACAGAGAGAAAGGTCGAAAAAAGAGTGTGGTTGTGTGGGCGCACAGTATTTTGCAGGTACTCTATATCTGGTTTCCATGTTTTCAACTTGTTTCTTTCTTGTATTTAACAGTGGATAATAAATCTAGACAAGTCATCCAAGGACGAAAGGGCCCTGTTGATTTATCGTTTTTCACAGAAGAGCAGCAGAAGCCAAAAGTGTCTCCCCAGCTACAGCTAGCGATACTGCAGTATCTTACCACAGGTGGGAAGTTCAAATGATTTAATATGATCCTTTTTAAGCCATGGGTTACTGGTGGTCTTCTGCCTCTCAAAAGACCTCTCATTGCTGTCTGTGTAGCCTCAGAGTGGGTTTTTGTGTTTGGATTTTGCCTCACAGGTCCTTTTTTGGGCACAGCTGCTTTTTACACTCTGCTCACAGAAAATGTTATTGAAACACTTGTTTTTAGCAATGTAAATACAGTACTACTCACATATCTTAAATGCAGGTGTAGGTATTAATAAACTTTGCATCTGAGCCCAGATGTGGTCTGGTATTTTGAGTTTCTTAATGATCTTCTTTGCTGCAATGCTGATGTGCTGTGTTCTTTGTGACAGTTGTAGAAGCATTCAGCAATGATGTCATCTCTTTCAACATGCTGAAGCGTTTAATCAACCAGCCTGATGTTGTCCAAGAGATCAAATTACATGATGAGATGGATGACAACCTGAAGTTCCTGTACAAGAAAGGAGTTGTGGCTGAATTCTTCACTCTGATTATTCAAGGAAAAGTTGAAGTTACTATTGGACAAGATGAGCTCACATTCGAAGAGGGCCCCTTTACTAGCTTTGGCACAAAGGCACTACTGTCATCACTGAATGCAAAACCCCTCGGTCAGTACATTCCAGACTACTCTGTGCGCGTGGTTACAGATGTTATGTGCTTGAAAATACCAACAGGAATGTACAAGCAGGCAGTGCGTGCAACTTTAATGGGACGGGAGTCAGAGCCAGATGGGACCATTCCAGGATCAAATGGAATGAATCATAGAAATGGCCCACAACTGCAGCCTGGCAATATTTACTTGGAAACAACTTGTTAATGTAATCATTTTTGCATAAGACTATGAAAGAATTACACTGTATAAAATATTAAGGCTAGGATCCAAATTTTGTTCATGTCAAAGAAATTACACAAAACTATGCATTTGATTTAACATAAATGATTTGTTAAGCTTTTATTTTTTCCAGTATACTGAATAAGATAAGAATGAAGATGGCTTACCATCTTTTCTTTGAAAAGTGCTTCTAGCTGATATGATTTAGACAGTATAACATTTTTTCTCTTGTTTTTAAATGGAAATTACTTTGAGAATGACTTGGATAGAACAATTTGGCACAAATTCAGTTACACTACACAAATATGTCCTTTTGATTTTTTATTTGTGTTTTGACTTGAGAAGCTCCGTAAAGTTCCTTGTTACCATCAATCTTCATCCCTACAAACTCCCAAGATATTATTGTTAATTCTGCCCTTTAGCTACTACACAATTCCTAGTAGATCAGTAACAAGAATTTGGTGTTTCATCAAGATAACAGCTTCTACCTGATAGGTTTGAATATTCCTGTTTACCTGTTTGCTGGATAGTGTATGGATATTTAAGGGTGCAATTTTACGTTTATCACTTCTGGGAGTTAGGGTATAAAAGCTGAAACATCAAAGTTTAACTGAAATCCTCTGAACACAATTCAGAGGATAATATTTGAGCCTTCTGGAATGACTCCAATTTCATAGCTCACATGTCAAAAAATGCAGTAATTTTTGAAAAAAATTTGTATCAGATCAAACTGGGTTTTTTGATTTAATGTTTCAAATGAAATTTTATAGGAATGGAAACCAGCTTGAAATTGTTCCTATCGTTTGTTATGCCTTCAAGTTTAGTTGCTGTTGGGGATTAATTTAATGGATGAATTGGTTTTTGAAATATTTAATGATACAGTGAAATTTCACATGTTGACTTCCATTTTACCACTTGTGGTAATTAAATCAAATTAACATTTATGCATTGGACAAGAAGAAAAGTAGAGCATGATTATGTTTTCTCTTCTAAGAGACAACGAAATAAGAGAGTTCATAATTAGTGATCCGATGTTTGCTGAATCACTTTCAATCTCTTAGTTCAATAAAATTAATCACGATAGAAAGAGGTAGTTGAGTCATGTCTTTGGAACCACTCATTTTGAACTCTTAAACCACATTACCACTGGCCGTTTTTAGACCTTTTTCCTTTACAGATTTTCTCTTATAAAGGGGTTCAGCTTTGCAGTGTACATGCGCCAGAATGAAACAAGTTCCTTGACAAGTAACCTTGTTTAGAGACAGACCTGTTAGCTCTAAACAGGAGGAGCTACTGAGGAAGAACTTGTCCAGGACGAATTTTCCTGTGTAGACGATGCTGGTATTTGCAGGATCGGAAAGAAGGAAATTAAGAGACAGCCCTAATACCAGGGCTTATTCAATTGCCTTGCACTCTATCACCAGCGAAACGTAATCAAAGCGTGCAATGATGCTTATAACTTCTAAAAGAGAGCCATGAAACTAGGCTAAGGTTCCAGTTTTGTGCGTTATAACACGGTTAACATATCGCTCGTATCGCATTCTCGTTTCGTACCAAGCACCCCTATATCTCGTCGAAGGAGCGCTGCTCCTCATGAAAGGGGCGCGGTGCTTGATGGCTGTGTTGTAGAATGCGGTGGAGGGGCTGGGGATGAAGCTGCTTTTTATTCGTTTTGATTTTTAAGGCGCTAAGCCCTGCATTTCGTCATGGAAAGTTGGAAGGACAAAAGAATATCTAACAACAGGTTGCTTGTTAGATATGCAAATATGCGCGTAAAGTCACGTTCAGTTTTATCCACTCCCTCTCCTGGCCTTGCGCACTTGAATCCTGAAAGTGCGGACACATCGTGCAATTAGTCACGAAACAAGTCGCGCGATAAGTCACGCAATAGATCAAATGACATGTCACATGACAGATCACGCCTCAACTGAAGGCACAGCGAGAAATCGTTCTAAACAAGTCGCTGTGATTCATTTTACCGCAAAACTTGAACCAGTTTGAATTTGGGCTACTTGTTGCGGTGGCAAAATTCTACCAAAAAGACTGAAGAGATGTTTCACAAAATTTCTCCGATTCGTATGATGCAGAATTTTTGTCGCGACTTTTCCAAGCTTCTATGGTGTCGAAGCCTCCAGAGTTTAAACCGGTATGGAATATGCCTAGAGGCCTTCAAGCCGATTTGTTATAATAAAACAATAGAGCCTATGTTCGTGGGCATTTAAATATGTTTTGGGCCTGACTCAGAGTCAATTTGACCCGAACTGCTAGGTGACTTTGAGAAGGACATAACACATATTTATGCCCAAGAACACAAACTCTATTACTATTTGGAGAACAAAAATCTCCGTTTTTGCCCGTAAAATGCGCCACAATGCGCGACAAAGTGATAATAATGGTTTCTTGCGCAAGAAATGGTCAAAATGATCTGAGAACGCAAGGGACCATGGGAAAAACAACTCCTCTTTCGGCTAGTGGACCCTTTCAATCACGCGCAAACATGAGACATGTTCTTGTTTGGTGCGAACCACAGCTGAAAGCACCAATCTTACTTTTTTTTCGAGGAAAATGCAACCAGAAAAGAAAACAAAAGTGTATACGTCAAATAAAATTATTCATTATTTTTTATTCAAATTTTATTTGAGTACGGAAAAATGTTATGAATGACGTAGATAAATAAGGCGCGAATAATGTGTATGTGTACAGTGGATTTCACTTGATCACTTTACTGTTTGTATAAAAGCAAACCACTTAGTAATTTGCTCCATGGTTCTTTCTTTAAAAGCTATTATGGAAAAGTTTTTTTGGAACGATAGCACATTTATGTACTTCGTTTTCCTCGTAAAAGCAAGATGGCTTCTTACGAATCAATAACATTAAACATCGAGTCTTTCGAAAACACCTTAAAATTCAAATCATCTTATGAAGAACCATTTTATTTCAGAACAGGACAAAAATTCATCGGGTGAGAAGAAAGAGTTTTGCCTGCGGAAAATACAAATAATTTGTAGAATAAATAAAAACATGCCTGAACCAAACTTGTTTCTATCACTTTGAGAACAACTCTGTATAATGATGAAACACTCACCTCAAACATCTCTGGAAATGAATATGATCAGAATTATTCGAAACAGCGATGGAAAAGAAAAGTTACCCTTACATTATTTAAGTTTTTTTAATTTTAATTAAAATAGTTTAAAAGTTATCAAAATATCTTCAGTTCCACCCTGAGCTTGAGATTCAGAACCAAGTTTCATCACTATTACGAATTTGATTTTGTAGTTTTCCCACGCGTTAAAAATTCTTCTTTAAATGGAAGTGATGAGTTACGCTCTTGCTTCTTTGCCTCCGTTTCCGGAAATGCTCACGCGACCGTTTGTTTCCTGCGCCAGAACGTAGCTGTTTGCCCTCGCTGTTCGTGCAGGAATTTCACTATCCTCCTGAGATATACAAAAAGATCCCTGTTTCAAATCTGAGGGGAAGTTTCCAATTTCCAATGGAGTAGCTTTAGAATGCGGATGAGATTGAGAAAAAGAAAATCTCATTTGCTTCATTCCACATGAAATTAATATTTTTGCAAACGCGTGACGAAAATCGCGATTGCGGTGAGTGTAAATGATTGGGTTCACCATAGATCCGCTGTAGTGCATCCACTTTGTAAAAGGCACCATTATAGCGTAATCAATTTTACACGTCTTGCAGTAAGTCGTCACAAGCAACATGACAAAGAATGGTAACCAAGCAACGACGAAAGCTCCAATAACTACTGCAAGAGTCACAGCGATGCGGATTTCCCGCGCAAGTGATCGCGACTGTCTCGCTCGTTCCCTCGTTTGCGCTATTTTATAAATCAAAGCGTACGCAATGAGGATAACAAACAGCGGCAAAAAGAAGCTCGCAGTGCTCACAAAAACAGGGTACCACCCAAGATACGATCCACTTATGTGACTGACGCTCGCGACCACAAGGGCATATGCCCAGGCAGCAGCAATGGTCATGCAAATAGTCTCGCGTGACAAGTTTCTATGGATAGTCGGTTGTGTGACGGAGATGCAGCGCTCCAAGCTTATCATCACAAGGTTCATGATGGATGAAGTACCACAGATGATGTCATAAGTGATGTAAATTTTGTACGAAAGTGTATCTGTCTGAGAGTTAACTACAGTTCAGGAAAAAGAATAAGAAAAAATAATTAACAAATGAATATATGAAAAAGAGCCTATTTAACTAACTGTCAACGAAGGTATTGCATTGTTTTTGCTTCCTAGCCCTGCAATCTATTAAAAAAAGAAGATTCTCGTCCGTTCTCAACCAATACGCTGCAGAACTTTAGCCTATCATCCCTAGCCTCATTTGCAGCCGTTGTTTGCTCCCGTCACGCAACACCTTCTCTGCGAGAGAAGAGGGAAAGCGATGCATGACAGACCAAAAACGGTCGCACAGGGGACTGGTAACGATTCTAGTTAGCTCTCGAGAGCGCTCTAAAGCGCTTCTTTGAGGTTTTGTTTGAGAACACTCAATTGAAAGTCGCTCACCAAAACCAACGCCTCTTCTCCTCTACATCCCACACTAGAGCGTATATGCAACGCATATCAGTTTTTATCGTGATATGGATTACGTGAGTAACTTTTTGTCCAGAAGTAAAATGTTTCAAAAGATTTCGCTTATTTGATGCTTTAATGCATCCAAGGTGTTAAACCATTTTTTTCGAGAAACATCCTCGATAGGCCACCCTAGGGCGACTTAAATATTCATGATTCCAGCTTTATTTCATTTTTTTTGTTGTTTTTTTGTTTTTCATTTTTATTTTAAACACTCAAAATCCTTGCTTTTTCAAGTGCCAACTGCTGCTTCTAAATTTTCCCATTAACGACGAATAGTTTTTTTAATTTTTGTCATTCACCTTTCCAATTATTTAGCCTCGTAAATTCACGTCGTTTGAATCATTACTCTCTGTGGTTTTTCACTTTGGAACGTTTTCAAATCTGGCTGTTCGGTTTTGATGAAAATTTTGTGCGGTTTTCAATAAAACAAAAGAGGTTATCTTCGCAGGCATAAGTATGTTTTGGACCTGAATCAGGATGGTTTTAGCCTGAACCGTGAAGTGAGTGTAAAACGAAAACTAAGAAGGTTCCAAACCGTATTTATAGCCCAGAACATGATCACTTTGGAAGGCTTTGAGAAAATAAATACCGAAAAAAAATGACAGCAGATCAGTCTAATCTCTGGAGCGTTAAAATTCTTTTTTCTTTTTTTTTGCACTTCGAGTTACAACTGACCGATAACACGATTTGAAGATTGTCCCCTTTCTCACAACAGCAAGCATGCGTAGAAACCAGCGACCTCTTTCTTTCGTGTCAACACGCGTGGAGGCTGCGAAGCGCGCCGCGCACGAGCGAGGCTTCATGCAGCGTAAATCAAAGACTCTGGTATCATGTTGAAAGGGCAAATATGACCGTGCTTATTTCCTCAAACGTTGTTGACCTCTGAAGCTTTGTTTTGATGGATGAAGCTGAAGTCTTGTTTTGAACACGATCAAGAGACTATCAGCTGATGTTTTTTTGTTGTTGACAAATTGTAGGACATGATCTGTTTTCTTTACTTGAAGAAATGTCTTAAGACGTTACAAATTTGGCGTCGCTAGGGTAGACATCAACACTTAAATAAGGTTTTGATAATATTCTTTCGAGATCAATCGTAATATTAACATCTCTGAACACTTTCTGTGTTTAAATAGGCTTGGACAACTCGCGCCATCAAGTTTAACTCATTAGCGGAAACTCGATAAACACTCCAAATATTGTTGACAAGTTTGTAATGAGACGATACCTTTGTAAGATGCACGCAAAAACGTATCAGTTGACGCGGTTTGTTATTTAAGATCCAATCTTAAGTATGATTTATCGAAGGAGAACTTTCTAGCAATTGGTGAAGAAAGCAAAAAAACAAAAACAAAAACAATTTATGGTAAGGAAACCGAATAAAAACCAAAGTTAATGTTCCCTAACATGCTGTACAAGATAAAAAAAACAGTCTAGCTATACTGAAATAACGTGAGGATTAGCACGTTTATGAGTATACCATTCAAAAACAGATCATACCACCTGTTTTCTACTTTACCTTTCTAAAATTGTTTTCCAGAGAAAATTTACTATCATTTTTGGGTGGAACTTAAACATGGAAACACTTGAAGTGTTTCACACCATTTGTTTCCCGAGACGTGTCTGAATGCAGAAATATCTTACCACAGCCTCGTCGGAAATTAACAACTCAAGGGTTTTCCTCTTTACACCAGATAAGAAGCATATTCCTGGTATTTACAGAATTTAACGTAAATGGAGATACTTTGCGCTTGTTTACGCGATGAAGATCAACAAAGTGTCAATTGCTTCATCAGCATTCTTTATTAAAATTTGCGCTGTTGTTGCGTAAAGTAATTACAAATGGCAAACATATGCATACGTCACACGTCATGGTTCCTTCAGGTTAAATTTTCTGCTTCACTAATCTATTCAGTTCAGTCGTCTTCGTTCGTCATATTTCATAATTGCCGTTCTGATGTTTTTCTATGTTACCAAACTGATATTCAGTAGTATCCTACAGAGTTGAAGGTAGACTAAAACGTTTAAGAACTGTATCAAATTTCGTGACATGAGTCTCAACTGAAAAAAAAATAAATAAAATTTGCTGAGTCTTACCTAACCGGAAATACACCCAATACGGTACAGAAGCAAGTCCAACCATGATGTCGGCCACCGCAAGCGAAATCAAATAGTAGTTTGTCTTTGTTCGGAGCTTGCGATTCTTGTAAATCGCTGTACAGACAAGAGAATTTCCTGCCAAAATGATCAGACTTAACACCACGAAAAACAGCGACTCCACGATAAGCGATGCCCTCGTTGCATTCAGATAAGTGGTGGTGTTTGTCGGCATGGTTAGCGTTGCTTCGCGGGTCTCACCTTGAACAAAAGCAAACAATCATTTGAGCGCACAGCTGAAACACTGAAACCGGTCTGGTTATCTGCAATGCAATCTAAATATACTTGATAATCAAAATGTTTCCGATTTTCTTACCTTCAGTCACAATATAACAACATCATCTTACACCGCTACTGGTTTCTGGTTACGATTGGCATAAATGTTCCTCAGAAAAGGTAATATTTCTAGCCGAGCTAACGGCTACCAAATCTTGCGTCGTTCATTTAAATTTAGAGACAGAGAGAACAACAAGCCTCTGCATCTCTTTAGTTACGTGTAAAGTGATAAACAACTCGTGAAAACCAGTGTTGTTTACACGATCACACTAATCTCAATTGTTTTTGGTGGGCCGGTCACAACTAATTAACCTAAGTTATTTAAAGTTCTCTCGGTCACAAAAACTATCCGTAAATCAGTTTAATTACGTTGTGTGCGTTTTGAACAACGTATTATTAAATTGAGTTCAGAAGACATTATCTCTTCAAAGTGTCTCCAGGACCTTTCGAAAACGAACGACTAAAATTCATCTTCTAAGAATAACTTTAAATTTTGATTTGATCCGTGGGTAGTCTGTCTTTAATAAATTTCTGACAAGGTGAAGTCATCTCGGTAGAAAGTCACTTACATAGTCAATGAATGTTTCTGCAATCCAATGCATTTACTGCGGTCTGCAGTGATCAGTCTCCAGGACACTGAATTACCAGATTTTTCTACTAAAAACGTCTGATGTTTCACCAAATACATTGCAAAGGTGTAACGGTATTACTGCGTGACTTGACAGGTTTTCTGTACCTGACCAATCAGAATTGAGAACCGAAAACAATTAAACAAACAGGTCTTCGGTAAGCCATTCAAGACCCAACGAACCACATTGCCAAGTTCATCAACATTCCCTCAAGGTGTTTGTTTTCGACGAAAACATTGAACTATTTTTACAACCCGCTGGTTCAAAATAAAATCAAAATACGTCCCACCTTAACGTCTTTAGGCACCATGCAGGGATCTTCATTAGCCTTCTTTTCTGTGAGAATTGTCCGGATGAATGAAAACTGAAATTACTAGTCAAAATAAGATTGACAAAATGATAAATTTGCACGCAAATTGGATTCTACCGGTGGAGGCTTTTCATAGCAGATCAAGAATTTAATGAAAGGTAAGGTTTCAAGCCTATGAAAGCAGATGTTTTCTTTTTTAGAATAAAATAAAACAAGATTATTGATTCGCATTATTGATTTCTTTCCCTATTGGCGGTCTGTTAATTGACGTCTGTTACTAAAGAGCGTGAAAAAATCAGTGCGCGTTGATTTGGTTTCAAAATTGGCTAAAAGCCAGCAACTAATCCTAAAGAAAAAAAAATCAAAGAAACCAAATTCGTGCATTGTTGGAGTTACCGGTTCCTTAAAGATACTTCCTACCTATCTAATTATTATATATATATATTTTTTGCAACGACTATTAAAAGAGATTTCAGCTCTTAGGAAAATCTGAAAGAACTCAGGAGATCGCCAAGACTCAGGGTCAAGACTATACACAAAATTTAAGCATTCAACGTTGTATTTTGTGGTATCGTGCTATTTACCAATTGTTTTACGCAGATCATACTCGTGCAGGTCCGCTCTCTCTTTTTTTATTCTGCGATTTTTGTCTACGGTGGGAAAACACGCCGAAGAAGAGTGTGCGGTGAAACAAGTTGCGGGATTTAGAGATGATACGGCAAACCTTTACTTTCGCTTACCGCTAGTGATGCTATACTGTTAGAAAAGAAAGGTGAGGATAAATTCTATATTTTTTTTTCTAAAGAGATATTGTCCAACGTGACAAAATATGATGTTTAAATGTTTTTCTCAAGGAAGATAATTAGTAGAAATAGTTATTACACAGAGCTTTCTTGGTAGACCGTTCATTGGTTTATTTAGTAAACCAAATGATCCTACAAATTTATGAAAATGGCCATCGGCACGGGTGGGAAATCTCGTCTATACAAGAAGAGCGTCGTATAAATTGAAAACCAAAGAATATCACGAGGAACCAATGAGAAATCAACGTAAAAACAAGCAAACTGCCTAAAGTGTCGCGAATGGTTTGAGTTTTGCATGTGATTGGTCGAGAGGGTGGTGCGAATTTCTTAGACCAATCAACGCCCGAAGTAAGGGAAAACCTGTGCAATATTGGATGACTTTCGACTCTCAATTCTAAATTGCTCCATTTTCTTTGTTTACAGACCTTAAAATAGCTCAAGAGCGTTAATTTATGACTCATGGAAACGACTCAAGAAATAAAGGGGAAACAAGTTTACCTTTCTTACGGAAAATGAAAGCTAAAGTCAAATAAACAAATGACAAAAGTTCATCACAAAGATGATTTACGCGATGTAGCTTTGAGTTATGAAATGTTAGCACTGGAGGCCATTTTTACAAAAAAATGGAATCGATCTGCTGAAATTTGGAAAATCAATTTGCAGGTGTAAGTAAATTTTAGTTTTTTGCTGAAGTTGGAAATTTCCTTTTGAATTAAAGCGTCAAAGATGCCCAAGTACAGAGCCGACAATAAATGAGTGATCTAAAAAGCGTCATAAAAGTATATACAAAATAAATGATCTATTAACAGGAACTTAAAAAACGCTATCAAGATCAAATAAAAGCTTTAACTTCCAACATTTATTTCAGCAGATTTATGCGGAATTTACACCCTGTATTTTAAAAAATTATTCGACTTTGAGAGATATTTCAGTTGAGTGCACATTTTATAGATCATTAGGTAAAAATTGAAGAGTAATTCACCATTAAAAATATTTCTCCTTTGTGTGTTTTCATGTTCTAATGCAAGTCAGATGACTTTATGTATTTTTGTCCATGCATAAAATTAATGATGACACGTTTTTTGCTTTTTATCTTAGTTCAAATCTATTCTGAGATTTATTTTAGACAATTTTGTTTTTGCATATTCGCTGTGATTTTATTGCATATATTTGTAATTCCAAAAGAATAAACATGTAACGCGGGTAAAATGCGTAACTTGTGCTATTGCCTGTATTCAGGTTGTTTTCAACTCATGTCTGCAGTAATTGCTTTTTTGGAAAAAACGAAATTGGTTTTCCGTGATTTTTTAAATCAACTGAAATCAACATAGGGTTTTAACCTGCTTCGAACGATGAATTATTTCTGGGATTTCGGCTCACGTACAGTTAAAGTTTTTCTTAATAATAGCATTTAAATTTTACATCAACATTAAGTCCAAAATTGCTTATTCAATTTCATGAATAAGTTGACAAAAAATCGTTGGCAAAAAAACAAAAAAAAGATGGGGAAGGTTATTCCCAGTGAAAGAAAAAAAGTGCAGCAAGATTTTGGGGTAAATACTCTGTTCTTATTCAGTTGAATGTCAATCCGATGAAGCAAAGTAAAATTGATGAAAGCTAGAAAATTCAGCATTCATCTCCATATTAACGATTCTTGACAGCACTTTAGACAGGACTCGATCAAAGAAAAAGCTTTTTAGCATTTACTTTCACCCCACGGGCAACAAAGGAAAATATTTATAGCAACAGTACACGTAGTTGAGAGGGCCAGTCATATTTCTTACAGCGAAACTGAATCCATCTTTTGAAGCAGGCATACAAACATTTTTTTTTTCTCAGCACGAATTTTTGGGTATAGAACAACATAGAAGTCGTCAATTGCATAAGAACAGCATTTGGAATAAAAAGTGTAGTTCTTACGTAACATTTATTAACACAAGACTTCTTTCAGTCTGTATGTAAAAATAGAAAACGAAATATTTATCCACTTACCAATTGACGCAAAGCCAATGAAGTTCCTGCGGAAAGCTTCGTTAGCTATAAAGTATCTCTTCTTTCGGAGTGAGTTTCAAAACACACAGACCTAAAACCACAATGACAAAGAGTTTGCGAGGCAGGTGTGATTAATTTGTGTCCTGAAAATGAGAAAAAAATGATGCGTGGATCAAGTAAAAGGGATTCTGTTAGATAATCGTTCGCTTTTCATACGTGCGTTTCCAATTTGTACGTCATCACAAAAGCATTAATACAGTCTTTACGTTCGAGAAGAGCATGTTAGTCATTAATATCTCTTTAAATGCAGTTTTTTTTGCTTTTCGCTGGCGTCGCTGTCAAACAAGGCCTTGTTGAATTAAACAGGTTAACATTACGCTCGTCAAGGCAGATATTTAAGGAAAGAGCACACTACCTAAAAATTATAAGCAAATGTATCATAGCAAGGAGTAATTTTAGAAATCATATCTTAACTCTTAGCACAAAAATACAGAATTGAAAAAATAAAACCTGCCTCAGCAATGTTTTGCGATTTTCTTTTACACTTTACACCTGGAGTTGATTCGAACCTGGAACGCTTGTTGAAAAGTTTTCCTTGAAAAATGACAAGTTGCTTTCACCATAACCAAACCGCACTGCTCAAAAATTTCGAAATTATCCAGTCATCATATAGTTATTACAAGATCAACCCTTTATTCCTTCTTTTCAAAACCAAGAGTAAGCTGCTTTTATTATCATATATCTTCCTGTAATTCAAAACTCGATCTCGATTGCACATCTTTTATTAACGGTCTTCTAGAATCAATCTCAGCCGCCGGTTTTGTTTCAAATTTTAAATTGCCACATGACTGAGGACGATGTTTCAAAGCTCTCCCTTTCATCGCTTTAGATTTTACTTAATCGCTGCAGTTTATTCATATGCAATGTTTTAATTGATTGAGAGCTTGACGAATATTCCGGTGTCTCTAAACCTCTTTATTTTCGACGTGATTATGAATATATAAAAATTAATTTTGCATATTTAGAAAGACCTACAAAATGCGCCCTCTACACATGGAGGTACTGAAAGTTTCATTATTTCTATCTAAAAAAATTACGCTATCCACATTGCTGATCCTAGCAGTATGCAGGACGCGTGTCATATGAACTTCGTAATAGACTTCGC